CCTACAAGAGTGTCCTACAAGAGTGTCCCACAAGAGTGTCCCACAAGAGCATCCTATAAGAGTGTCCCACAAGAGAGTCCCAAAACAATGCTCCGCAAGAGCTTCGTACAAGAGTGACCCACAAGAGTGTCCTACAAGAGTGTCCCGCAAGAGTGTCCTACAAGAGTGTCCCACAAGAGTGTCCTACACAAGAGTGTCCTGTAAGAGTGTCGAGAGTGTTCCACAAGAGTGTCCTACAAGAGTGTCCCACAAGAGTGTCCCACAAGAGTGTCCTACAAGAGTGACCCACAAGAGTTTCCTACAAGAGATTCCTACAAGAGTGTCCTACAAGAGTGTCCTACCAAAGTGTCCCACAAGAGTGTCCTACAAGAGTGTCCCACAAGAGTTTCCTACAAGAGTGTCCCGAGTCCCAAATGACCCACAAGAGTGTCCTACAAGAGTGTCTCACAAGAGTGTCCCGGAAGAGTGACCCACAAGAGTGTCCTAAAAGAGTGTCCCACAAGAGTGTCCTACAAGAGTGTCCTACAAGAGTGTCATTTGGACATATGTAGTTTTTCGAACGTGTTTGCATTCGGGTTCGTGGGTTCCATCTTGTTTTTATGCCGACCGCGGCCCGGTCGCGTCACCTGCGACGTGTTCAGCCTCCTTTCCGCCCCGTCCATCGATGTCTATCCCGGTCCTCAAAGGCTCCAACGACTCGTAAGCTGGTCTTGTTGCCAGTTGAGACATTCTTTAAAAACCTAAAGCGATGGACACCTACGTGGTGAGGCACTCCACCGAGGTGGACTCTGTGCTTGAGAAAAAAAAACGCTGTTTCAATCCAGGAGTCACATGGATTCACGCGACCTTGCAGTGTGAAGCCATGGAGTCGTGTCCCGTGTCCTGTCCCCTCTATTTAAGTCTTTCGATTTCGGCGCAGTCATCCCAAGGCTTGGCCAAAGTGTTTTCAGGGGATCCGGAGTCAGAACAGACTCATTGGCGCTTCTTTGAAACCCTTCCTTCACACCTGGGTGCGAAGAGCAAACCTCAGGAGGGGGGACACCGGGGGTCTAACCACCTTCTGAGGGTATGGTTGGAGCCCTAGCAATAGACCAAAAAGGCCAGTCCGTCCGGAGGGGTACTTGAACCACATTCAGGGAACATTTGCATGTTTGGGATCGTCAAAGCTAGCTTGCTCCATGCGATTTGTGCCAGCTCCATCAGAAAACTGTGACTTTGTGAGTGAAAACACGGGTGGAGTTGTGATGACAGAAATCACAGCCCCAACGAAACATGACTGCAGGGAGTTCAGAGTAAATGTCACCCACTGCTGGAATCCGGATGTAGCCAACCTAAAAACCCTGCCAGGCCCAAGCTCCACACGCCTCCTGTCCATCCAAGCCCCTCTTCGAGGCAAACTTCGCTGACACCAGCGTTTCCAACTGCAGCATGGCGCCAGGTCGGTGCGACGTCGGCATCAGTCCGGCAGGTCTCAGTCGGCAGGTTGATGGGACCGGACCTCCCAGCTCCCAAATTGCTGGATCTGGCTCTTGTTACTAGTAGCGATGCACTTGTTCCAAGTAGCTTATTGTTACTACTAGTAAGGCACCTGTTACTAGTAGCGTGGCACTTGTTTCTACGTTCGCTTCTTGTTGGGAGCTGCCTTCCGGGCCTGCCTTCTTCCCCCATGTGGGAGCGGGCGTGCTCCGTCGCGAACATCGATAACATCGGCCCAACGGGCGGCGGAGAGGACTGGGGCCAGCTGGGAAACCTGTCTCCGCACAGGTCCGGTCTGACCCAGTAAAACCATGTAAAACCTCGTTCTGAAAGCCTCATTGAAGAGGTCTTTGAAGTGTAGGGATCGTAGAGTTTTTGGTTCGAACGCGAGCGACTCGCCAGGCGAGTTCAACGAATCGCGCCCGACTCGCCAGTCGCACCCTGAGGACGGCTGAAGTGGTCTGAAAAAGTGACGTCAATAGAACCCCACCCCACCCCCACCTCATCGTCTGACGTAGCATCAAGTATGTTTGCAATGGAAGCATCAAAGACTGCTTGACATGTGAATTTGGATCCGAAACAAGGGCAGTTGGACTCGGAATTACTCATTCACAGCACGGTCTCTGCACTCAACTGACGAATCCGCTGTGACACTGCCATCCGAAGGCTGCCCAAGCGAGCAAGATGTCTGTCAACACGACCTGCCAACGCCTTTATACAGCAACTAACCCCTGCATCAATGATTCTCCTAGGATCGCGACCGAACTGGCAAAAAGAGTCCGAGAAACCAAGTGAGAAAACCATCCCGGTCATAGTTTTCGACCGGCATCTTCCTCGCAAAACCGCAGAAATGGTCCCGCCGTGATCCCCAGCTTTCTTCGCAACCCACCACGCCGTGATCCGCACCGGTGTCCCACCGCGCACATTTCCCGGCGCCTCGCTGAAGCTGTGGCACATGCTTCCCCCTGTGGCGGTGCCACATCGGCGACGGTCGGGGAACCCGTGGGGTTCCGACGGTTCCAAAAGTTCCCGGCGGAAAAGCCGGCGAAGAATCTATGTGATGTACAATCCAAAAGTACCAGCACCACCCAGTTTGGGTGGTTATTGGATCGAAGTGACATGGTCAGCAAGTCCTTAAACTACTCTTTCCATGGGTGGCGCTGGTAATTGATGTCCATTTGAGAAACGGTACATCAAACTACCGTTGCTTTCAGATAAGCATTTCGTGATGGGAAACTGTGTGAGGACGTAGATTGTCCGATTATCCCCTTCACGAATGAGCCAGTGGTTGGCCTGCAGTGGATCATGATACATGGTTACATGGTCATAATGCCTAACTCGCCTTACTCCGGTCCTATAAAGTGGTTACAGTCACTACATGCAGTATGTGAATGGGTTTTGCACTGCAGAGTGGCTCGCTAGACGGATCTCTCCTTGCCTGGTAGAAGCACTTTCCGGAAGGAGCTTTCACCCACCTGCTCGCCCGGTCACACAGTCGCACTGCTCTGCACCAAAATCACACAGCCCTTTCGCACCTGTACGCGGGAAGGGTGTTGAAAACAGTTGAAAACCACGTGCAGCAGAGAACTAAGAGCACCTCAAGAATTGCTAGCTTTTTGTTCCTAGTAGCGATGGCCTCCAACCTGGTAGCTTCTAGCTACTAGTCCAAAAAAATGATTCATCTCTTTTTGGACCCAAACCTCCCCAGATCAGGTCCATGTCCTCGACCGTCGGCCTCCCGCACGCGCACAGCGCCCACTGGCGCGGGCGTGGGCGCGGAAGAAGCGGCGGAAGCTGCGGAAGGTGCGGCCGCCGCGGCCTGTCGGGACAACGAGCTGGGAAGCCTTGACCCACGTCTTCTCACAGCGAGCGATCCCAACGAGGCACCGATTGATCCAAAGAAAATCACCCTGAGATCACAAAGAGTGCGTCGGTGTCTGTGTGCGGTGATTTTTGGTGTTCGAATCTTGTTGCATGTTCAGGAACATGTGTTTGGAAGCCCCCAAATCCACAAAGGTGCATGGGTTTACCTGCCAGAAGCCTCAAAAACCGGTCGTTTATTTCTCCAAATATGCCCAGGTACTCTGTTCAGTTGCAAGAACAGCCTTTTGGGAGGTTGTGGCTTTGCATTCTGTCCCTGCCATCAGGGGGCAAGGAGCACAACCTGGAAATCAGATCTTCATGCAGGAGGGAGGAGGAAGCGTTCGCTCACAGCAAAGTGGATCTGAAGAAGTGCAAATCATGGCAGGACATGATCAAACCATATCAAGCCCTTGTAGCGCCAAGCGTCTTTCTCCCCGATCCCACGGGTCTGCCCCATCCGTTCATCTCTCCTGCATCATCATGGACATGAGCTGCAGCGGATCCTTAGACCGCTAGAGGGGAGGAGTCTCCTTCATAAGCCTAGTGAAGAAGCTAGGTTGGATGGAGGCGCTCTTAGGTTGGAGGTTTAGTAACTCAAAAGAAGATTTCTTTTTCCCTGCAGTGGATCCACTCCATGCAGGGGCCGTCTCAAAGGCTCATGCATTCTGCGGCTCGCACCCGTTTGCGACGATTCAGGCGGCAAGTTGGACCCCCCAAAGGGGTTTGCTTTGGCTTGCGATCCGACTCAGTGCGTTTGGGAAGGTTCATGGTTTCTACTCCCTAGCCTTCCCTACTTTAAAAATCTTTAAAACATGGTTGAGCTGTTTTTCTTATGTAAAATCCTTTAGTAGAACAATGGTTCTTTGGTCAAGGCCATTAATGGTGGTTGGAAGCCATGGAAGCCCTGAGAAGCACCGCTTCTTGACCCACGGTATTTGTCCAAACGATGTCCAGCCATGTGGGAGGCAGTCTCAGTGTGGCAAGAAAGCAAGAAAGGCTTCACCAGACCGGCCAAAAGGGGCAATCCGAAGTCTCAGATCCATTGCTGCAAGGGTCTCAGATCGTCCACACACTGGATCCACTTGACCTGTGGGATCCCAATGCGGTCTGGAAATTCCAACCGAGATGTTCATCCGCATCCCATCCGGAGCTGTTTTTGGTTCATGCCTCCCAAAGAACCTTGGAAAGGTCAGATGCGGATTCATCTCTTCCGATGCCCAGAGATCTATATCGAACAGGGTCTCTTCCGCATTTACCCCCAAATCACCATCGATGCTCGGGTGTCGATGCTCGGGTGCCACGTCGCTGGACGCTCCGCCGCGCCGACCTCCGAAGACCGGCTCTTTTCCGTTCGCACCGAAGAGTGGTCGGTGTCGGTTGGATCGGTCGATGACCGACACCAACGAGTCGCTTCACGAATGGACCTAACGGTACGGTGCTGTTTCTGAGTCTAGAGTTCTCCTGCACAAAGATGTTTATATATATATACCTACGTCTTCGAACATATGTCTTTTTATAGCTCTTTCAAGGAAAACAGCTTTTTCAACCTTCGAGCTATAAATATCGCCTTCGAGCGATTCTATGGTTTTGAGTGGTTTTGGTGTCTTGGCCACATTCGATTGGCCTGGTTGACAGCCGAAGCATTTTGGCTGATTGCTGATCCACCCTTGCACCCTTTGTCACTTGGACAAGTGCGCCCTTTTTTTCCACCAGGAGTGCTAAGGTAGTCTTCCGCCTTGGCAGGTATGCGATGCGATGGTATGCGATGATTGAACGATGGATCAGTTCAAGAAGAACCTTGTACTTAGAGGACTGGTCGAAATCTTGCTCAGAATAGTTTAAAGGCATGCACTGAACACTATGTCTAGAGGTTCTCCTCACGGGGTTTGGCTGTTGATGTTGATATGCCCTGAGGTGTTGCAGGATGTTCTGCCCGTTGAACAGCAGCGGTCATTCGTCCAGAGCTACTGCAAGCTGAATGGCTACGGGGTCTCGCGGGCTCGCTGTACGAAACGTGCCCAGCCACCGCACGTTTGCCAATTGGGGATTCTGAGAGGGGCGTTCAGCCACGATCGTCAGCCCAAAGGCTTCACTTTCTGAAAGACATCTCTTCACCCCTCTCACGCCCCTCAGACTGCGCATCTCATGCGCTGTGCCCTCTCATGCGATGCCACTGAGCCCGCTCGCTCGTTCGCTCACACTCGCTCAGCGCCGCGATGCACGTCACGGCCGGAGCTGCGTGGCACGTGGACTTGCCACAGCGTGCCGTCTGCGCGGGCTTTTCCGCACGCGTGGATGGCATGACCTCTGACTCCAGCGCTGCAAAATCTTGGCCATCTGCAAACTGGGATCCTTGACCTGCAAAAAGAAGTAGAAAATCGAATCCCAAAGCATGCCTACAACTTGCGGATTGCATGATATACTGGATTCCGCTCCAATTTCTAGGAACGTGGATGTCTTGTTCTGTCTTTACAACGAAATAAGGGAATCAACAGCAATCCCAACCCATCCAGCATGCATGCATAACGAAAAAAGAACAACAGTTGCCAACTCAGAAAACCTGTCGATTGCCCAGCCCCATTTCCTTCAGAAACTACCTCTTCACCACCTCAGCTTCCCCTAAATAAACACTCTGCATGCCTGCTTGGTGCGACCGCAGCGCGCCCGTTTCTGGGCGCGACCAGCGAAGCTTCGCTCCAGGGCTGACAGCTGGGAGACTAACCTGTCAAGCTCAGCTCGTGATTGGTGCGAGGTCGCCACGGAAATTCTCCACATATGGAGACGTTGTTGCTGTAACCAGGTATGCGGGGAGATGATGTATCATGGTTTATCATGGTTTAAGTCCATTAACCATCTACATCGGAAAAATGAGAGAATGGGCTCTACCTTAGATTCCTGGACCTGAAGGTGTTGATTGATCAGCACGACCACCTTTAGGATCCAAGTTCGCCCTCATTCCGTGCACTCGTTGCACAGTCGTCAGATGAGCTACGAGGACTGGCAAGGATGCAGGGAATGGCACAATGGCCCTCATCCTGCATGTCTTTTTCTGGGTTAGGCAATGGGTTTTGATCCTGCAGAGGCACTCAGGTGTTGATAAGGCTTTCAGGTTTCTGAAGGCTATGAGTTTTTGGTGCTTTTGGCTTTGGCGTCAAGAGGTTCTGATAGGACTTTCAGGGTGATGTTGTGCTGAAGAAACGCCTGGTTGGTGGAAGTTAGGCTCCGTATTGCAACCCCTCTGCAGTCTCTGCAGAATGGTCGGTACCAGTAATTTTACACAATCAGTTATAGCCAAGAACCCGGGCTGTTGGTCATCGATCAAATCATGGCCACCGATCAAGTACGATCTTCAATCGACTCTCAGAGCAGTCGGTGTGTAGCTCAATCTTAGGGAGACCTCCCTGGGTTCACTTTGGGTAATAGACCAGTCCAGTCTAGCCGACCAGGGGGTCTCTCTATTGAAATACACCACCCAAGTGTCTGTTCCGTCCACACCAAGGGTCTCTTTCCCCTTGAAGCCCGACCATCTTTCTTGGGTGCGGGACAACTGCTCACCCAAACTGGCACGAGAAGTGTTCAGCATCCGTCACCGTCTACCTTAATGTTTTATTCGTATTGGCATAGTTGATACATCTAACATAACTAGCAGGTCCCTTGAGAATTGATGTGTTGGTTCCAAAAAATATTCTTGAAGAATGTCTTGCAAACAGTTGTTATCTCAATTATATCTATGTCGCCTCAGTATACATCAATCTGCCTATCTGGGCCCAGCTTTCTTTCTCGCACCACACCATCCTTCCCAGGGCGCTTACGGCGGCGCACCTCTTCTGGCTCTGCCCTACCGCCCTCCACACGGAACCATAGGCATCTCGCAGCTCAGCCCAGGACTCCTGCGTTGGGCGGCAGAAGTTCCGCCATGCGGGAGTTGAGGCTTAGTTCCATGGGTTGATGATCCAAATCTGCAAGAAACAGTGGGCAAAGCGACAAAGACGTCCACACGACTGCACATGATTCCCGGTGAAGCTGCTAACAAGGGAGGCAGTAATTGGAGCTTTCGCAAACATCTTGCTCTTCTGGATTTCTCTTTATCACCCCCATCCAACGGCACCACTGGCGCATTCGATTGGCCGCATCTCCCCTCCGGCGCCTGCCACGTCGGCCCGCCCGGCGCGCGCTCCGGGCGCTCGGACGTCGGGCGCCGCGCGCGGTACAGCTGCTCCCAGGCCCAACGCCCTTGCTGGAGTCCGGTCGAGGTCACGGGGAAGAGCGGCGTGGGGAGCCGGCGGCCCAGCAAGAAGTGCGTGGGCACATAGGCCTCGAGGCCGCGTAGTAGGTGGATGGGCGTGCCGTTCAAGCGAGGGGTCCTGTCTTCAGTCCCTTCTCCACGTCACTTGTTGAAGGTGTTGTCAAAAGGTCAGGGAAGATTCCATCAACCTTTCAAGCTGCCAGCCCTCGGGTTGAAGTCGTGACCCTTACCACTCTTTTTTGCATGGCGTTGGCGGCGTTGGTGCTCATTTCTTTTGGCTTTACGCCGGGCGGTAGGATTTTCCGACATCCTACCAAGACACGCCAGGCAGATAGTCTGCCTGGCCTGGTGTTTGTCATGTTTCACATGATCCAACGGATGTGTTCGGTTTTCACCCGGTCTTGGTGTCGTTCTTTCCTGCACACTTGAATACATGTGTGTTTGTAGCTTAGCTCAGTGAGGCTTCGCTCCTTGTGGACTCCTTAGGAGTTTGCATGTGTGGCGCAATCACGCATCCGCCGCAGCACGAACACACACACTCTGAGCATGAATCAACACACCTTGGAAAGAGTTCCCACCCTCTTGTTCCAAGTTTCCTCTACCGGCCGATATCGTCTGCCCCATCACATCCGCAGGTGACACCAGCTAGGCTATGATCCACTCATTTATAGGGTCGGTGATGACGGAAACGGTCAGAAGGATGACCTTGCTCCTTTGGAATTTTCACGATGAACATCACCTACGAAGTACCTGGTCGCAGTACGACTCGCCCAAAGAAATACGACTCGCCCGGTGTGGCGGCCTCAAAGCGGAGACCAATCTCCTTAGATGGCCGGAAGAGTCGAGAACGAGGATCCGACACATGGAGGGAATCCAAAAAGCACACCCAGCCCGGAAGAGTCGCTCTGATCTCTCCAAAGTCACGTGAGAAGCTGAGTGGTCGGCCTCCAGGTGGAAGATGTTGCTTTGAGGTGCTTCAGTGACCTGACTCCTTCTACCTGTTCGAATCTCGAGTGGGCTTTGACCACTCCCCCCCAAAAAAGGGCTAAGGTGGTCCACTTTTGGGGTAGACTCTTGATGAATAGACCCCCCTCAACTGGATGCTTGAGATGAAACAGCCGTCACCGGACAAAGCCCCCAAGGCAGAACCACCGGCGAGTTCGGTGCCAGATTTCGTGGCCAGATTTCCGCTATGGCCATGGGCGTGTACAAAAACCGAATTTCCCTGGAGACCGAAGATTCCGAGATCTTTAGCTT